CATGTCTCTGTTCGTTCTTGGGGGACCGTCCCCAGACAGTACAGCTTGGCGAGATGACTTCCACCCTGTTGATCCTCAGTTGTGGGGTTCCATCTTGCCAATGACATTTAATATCTATATGAGGCTGCTGGCTGAGGTCATCCTACTGCAGTGGATGCTGTTCCTACCCTTGAACGCTGCTTGGGGACCATTCTGGAGTGGATGAGGGCAAATGGACTGAGGTTGAATCCGGACAAGACAGAAATCTTGCACATGGGTGACCCTGGCATCAGTGAGTTGGGAAACCCTCTCCCTTGGAGGAGTGACTCTTCCCACAAAGAATGAGGTTTGCAGCTTGGGCATCTGCCTGGACCCGGATCTCACCATGGAAACCCAGGTGGCATCTGTGGTCTGGGCAGCCCATTTCTATCTTCAGAGGATTGCCCAGCTGCGTCCCTAACTAGACGTGTGGGCACTCATGATGCTGATTCATGCCCTCATAATCTCAAGAACAGACTACTGCAGTGCTCTCTACGTGGAGCTACCCTTGAGGCTGATGGACCTCTATGTGGGGCTACCCTTGAGGTTGATGAGGACACTTCAATTGGTCCAGAATTTGGCAGCCAGATTAATAACTGGGGTGAAGAAATTCCAGCAGATCTCCTCCACTCTGTCTCCCCAGATTAATAACTGGGGTGAAGAAATTTCCAGCAGACCTCCCCCACTCTGTCCTTTATTGGCTACCGGTTGGTTTCCGCATCGACTTCAAGGTTATGATGATAACATTCAAAGCCCTAAACGGTTTAGGGCCTTGGTACCTATCAGAACGCCTGCTCCCAGCCAGGTCTGTCCATAACACCTGTTCTTCACAGGCAGGGCAGTTGAGGGTCTTGACCCCAAAGGAGGCCTGGAGGGAAAGAACAAGAAACGGGGCCTTCTCTGCAGTTGCCCCCCCACCTATGGAACAACCTGCCTATTGAGATCCGCCTGGCACCCTCGAATGGATGGGTTCAAAAGAGCATTGAAGACCTGGCTCTTCTGCCAGGCTTTCCCAGAGCATTAAGATCTTGGTCTCCCTTTTACCATCCTTTTTGACACCCTCTCCATCACCCCTTTTTACCGTCTTTATTACCATCTCTTTTAATTTGCCCTATTTGGTTATGTATTCATTTTTTATCGTGTTTTAATATTGTTGCTGATATCGTTGTTAGCCGCCCAGAGTGGCCTGGTTGCCAGATGGTGCGGGATATAAGTAAGTAAGTAAGTAAGTAAGTAAGTAAGTAAGTAAGTAAGTAAGTAAGTAAGTAAGTAAGTAAATAAATAAATAAATAAATAAATAAATAAATAAATAAATAAA